AGAATACCCTCGCTCTTTAGCATGGGTAAATCTGAGGAATTAAAAGGTGAAGGGCATAATCGTGTAGGTTATACCGAGGTGAAGGACCTGGCAACCCTGGAAGCCTTCTTCTCTCTTTGGTACTTCTCCTTTTCCTCCTCTGTAACCCGCGCTTTCCCTTCGCCCATAAAAGGGGAAGCAGGGCACCCCATAAAGGGGGAGATCGAGACACAAGAGCACGACACGAGCACACGGCTGAGCGGCAAGCGAGCTCTCAGCACCCGTTTACTCCTTCCACCAGAGACTTGGGATCCCCTCCCTCTCTCGCCTGTTTGTAACCCCTACTGCAAACCAAGTGCCGGTAACACGAGCAGCAACGAACTGGACGTAGGGACGTTCCGCTCGAACCAGTATAAACCCTTGTGTCATTCAAGCACACCATCCGAGCCAGACGCGCAAATACAAATTTACTCGTCGGTGGTCCGAAAACACCGACAGTCAGGGTGATCAAATGGAATGGACCGATTCAAATGTGACAATCGCCAGAGTTGATGGTGAACAAGTTAGGAAGGGAATCGTCCAAATACGCATTTGAATTGTGTAGGTTATACCGAGGTATACGATAGGTTCTTCCACTTCTTTCGAATCAAGTTGTCGAAGACGCAAAAATAAAGAACAAGTGGGATAAGTTAAAGAATGATTTTACTTGCTTGGCAAAAATTGAGGAGGCAAACAAGTACAAGTTGGAACTATGCGCGGGGGACAATTTAAATGGACAACGAGTGGTGGAAGAAGGCCAAAGCTGTGAGTGCTATATAATTTTTTCAATCCATCACTTCTCTATTTTTTCCCAAAGGTTGATGTACTGATGTATGTGGTATATATATGTGCAGGAAATTCCAGGGAGTGGAAAGTTTAGGGAAAAAGCTTTCCAAAATGAGGATTTGCTATCTGATATGTTTAAGGACATCGTAAACGAGGACGTGGATCATTGGAATCCTATGAGTGATAATCCAATTATTCCTGATTCACAAGAACAACCTTTTGATGTGGACAATAAAAATGGAGGTGGAGGGGGCGACTTCCATAGTGAACCTGTTGATGCACACAATATTGGAGAGGAGGAGGACGTCCAGGAGGTTGGTGCACCTAGTGCATCTGCAGGAAAAAGGCCTCGTGTTGCTGCTGATCCGAAGAAGAAGGCTAAGTCAGCCACTGCAATTGTTATTCAAGATGCAATCATAAAGATGTCTGATACTACTACTGCTTTTATAGCCAAGAAGCAAGAGGGGGTGTCGGTCAAGGAAGTCATGGACCTTGTTATGGACTGTGGTGCGGAGTTTGGTTCTGATGAGCATTACATAGCGACTCTGTTATTTGAAAAGAAAGATGCTAGGGAGATGTTCATGACCTTTCCTACTAGAGAGATTAGGTTCAATTGGCTTAGGAAGAGGTACAACGATAAGTACGGCAACTAGGATTATTTCATTTGGTCGTATGTCGACCATTTGGACTATTTATTTTGGCTCTATGTGAACCATTGGGATTGTTTATTTGGCTCTGTGGTAGCCCTTTGGATTTATTTGGCTGTATGTTAGGCATAAGTAGAAAATTCGATGAGGTCCTCAATTCCTTGGATGGCTATGGCTAAAGATTTTATTAGACCAAAGGACCCCAACTTCCCAACTGTTCATGAGAGGATTAGAAATGACCGAAGAGCATTTCCACACTTCAAAGATTGCATTGGTGCTCTTGATGGCACACATATTCGAGTTGCTTTGTCATCCGAAGAGCAAGTGAGACATATTTGAAAATCTGGGATATCTACTCAAAATGTTCTAGCAGTTTGTGACTTTGACATGAGGTTCACTTATGTGTCGACGGGGCAACCGGGATCTATGCATGATACTAGTGTGCTGTACAATGCGATAAGAGTTGATGAATTTTTTTCCCACATCCTCCCAAAGGTAATATTGATATGAATATTTTTTTTGCAACATTCGCTTGAGATGCTTACAATTGGAAACTAATATTGTCATGAATATATAGGCAAATATTACGTTGTCGATGTGGGATATCCTAATCGTCCGGCTATCTTTGTCCTTATAAGGGTGAGAGGTATCATATTCCCGAGTGGCATAGAGGAATGGAACCGAAGACTCCTAAGGAAAGGTTCAATCGCATTCACTCTTCTATCTGTAATGTTACTGAGAGATCATTTGGACTTCCCAAAATGAGGTGGTACATTCTCTACAAGATGCCTTCGTACCCGATGTGCAAGCAAAAAATGTTTGTTGTGGCTACTATGGTGCTTCATAACTTCATTCGTGAGCATGATGGTGTCGACTTGGACTTTGCTCGGTTTGATCGCGATCCAAATTTTATCCCAACAATCCCAAGAAAGGTATCACAAATATGTAGCGCCATCAAATAGGTCTACTACCGAACCCAATGCTCCTAGTATGGATGCATTCCGTGATGAGTTGTCCACCGCTCCCTCTCTTGCTTGGGGCTAGAATTATTGGAACACTTCGATTCGTAGTCGTCGTGCCAACATATGGACAATTATTTGTATTCGAATTATGACCTTTGTTTAATTTTCTATCATTTACAATTTATTTGACAATTATTTGTATTTGAATTATGGCCTCTGTTAATGTTCTACCATTTGTTTTCTATTTTTATCAGGGGCATAATGGACCATTTGCATGGAAACAACCCATTCCTGAAGATGGAGCAGAGCTGTGTGCCAAACAGTACCACCTGCTTCACAAACTTCATGGTGGAGCTGCTTCATGGTAGAGTTCGTGGAGCAGAGCTGGAAAAACGGGAGCGGAGCAGTGCCAAACACCCCCTAAATTTTGTCCACCATTTGGATGGTCTAGGACCTAAGTTTAGTTCGGCAATCTAAACAAGCCCTGTTAGTCCTCGGGCCTTTTTCTTCTACAAACATGTTTATTAAACGGGGTGTTTGATCCTAATTGAATTTACATTAACCAGATAAACTAATATAGCAATCTTGGTGTTTTTTTCTTGATAAAACAATTGTGATGGTTTTAAGCCATGAGCTTGATCTGTTTGGTTGGAGATCTAGATGATTTGCCTCGTGAAAAATGTCGCCTGAGAGCTACCTAGAATCGCCAGGCAAGTGGTGAGATGATATGTTTGGTTGGAAGCACGTGCCTAAGAAGTTTAATAAAGGGAGAAATTATGTTTTCTTATATACTATAAAACTTCAACATCAATCGAGTAATATATATTGTTATAATAAAAGCTTTAATAACTTATTAAAATATAAAATGCAAATAATTTTAATAATTTGTTTTCCTAACAATGCATACATATAATTAAGGAATGAATAGAATAAAAAATACTAAAGTTTGTTTTGACATGCCTGGGCGAGCGTCATGTAGACCGTAGTGTAGGCTGTGAATTGTGATTAAACAGTGGTAGAAGGAAGTGTAGTAGGTTAGCAGCATGATGATCATCAAGTGTTCTTTTTTCTGCGTGCACGCGACATAAATTGCCAAAAAGTAGGATCTAAAACGAAAAAAACTACAAAATAATAGGAGATTAACAAGAACTAGTTAGCATGAGAACCAATAAATAATCAACACAGCACCAACGACAAAGGGCCCAGAATATACAAGGGACTCAATAAGATGAAGCAATGGACTGGCTAGGACCAAAGTTTAGTTTTATTAGACTTGGGAGGTGCCGCTGAATAACGCAGTTACAACGGCTGAGGACAAAAGTTTTATTTGTTAGATTTGGTGGGGGCCGCGCGAACGCGTACCCCCTCTACCACAAATTATGACGTCCACTCTCCCACTTGGGCAATGAGGACCACTGACCTAGACCACGGGCCTTCATGATCGCCCGTCGATCCCGTCCAGGTAAGTATGGAGCAACGTCGCACGGGGCGCTCCTCTTATAGCGGGAGCTCGCGGCGCGTTTGCCTTCGCCTGGCGAGGTGGTGCTAAACGCTCAAACCGAACGAGCGCTCGTCTCCGCTCTGCCGCTGAGTTCTCGTGGGCTACCGAGACATGGAAAAGTATATGGGCCTTCAAGTCCGGCCGTGATCCGTTTCGTAAAAAAGAGGTCCGGGCCCAGACTGCGGGCTGCAATGGATCGGTTAGGCTTCAAATTAGCTTTCGAGCCATAGAAGCTTTGGTTTTTCTTTCTTGCAGCTACATCCTCTCGTTGTATATAGAGAAAAGAACTCCTAAGAAGAGAGGCAAAGCAATTGCAGATGGTGGCACACCCTACTTTCAGAATCATCTGCAACTGCAAGAGAATGGTTTAACACCAGCCTGAAGCGAAGAGGTCCATGATTATTTATTCATTCTTAGCATAAATGCGTAACGGAGAGATGATATGGCCTTCAGCCTTCTCAGCAAAATTTCCGAGTCTCGCAGGCAACCACTGAACAGCAGCAAAGCTTCACCTCGGCAAGCATAGATGATCGCATTCGCGTGCATAAATTAACTGCAACCTGCTGTTGCTATTCATTTATATGTACACAAATGGCTAGAGGCATCATCATACACCGATTTGCAGAACTAACCGACGAATCATCAGGGTACCACATCGAGAAGCGGGAAAGATTTTTGCTCCAAAATTCGACCCATACATTCTGGAACAAATTAGCCAGAAAAGAAAAAGAAACACGAAGAAGAGGACTTCCAGCACTTCAATGCAATGGATTTCTCTAACATGCTTAATTTATAATAAACAGTGGTGGAAGAAAGTGTATAGTAGCATGATCGACTGTTTTTTCTGAGTGTGTTTTTTAAACTGCATTTGGGAGTGTAGTAACTGTGCCAATAACGTTTTGCTGTTTTTCAACAGCTTCAAATCCAAAGGTCTGCCGCTAGATTTTTTTTTTTAATTCAACAAGTTCCCCAGTTGTTATGCTCCATGTATCAGAAGTTGTACACAGTGAACTAGTAATCGGGGCCAGCCAAAATTGCAGCATGGTACAAGGGAACAAGGACACCTGTGGCAAAAATCGCAGATCACTACATCTCATCACAGTCCGTGTCGTTACATACGAAATACAAGTAGTGCTCCTCAAGAGACCGATCATGAGGCAGCGTATCTTGCTCTCTTGTCAGATGGGAACTGGACTCCCTAAACCTCTGAACGCGCAGTTTGTTGTACGCTTCCATGTTGAGATTTGAAACCAGGAAGAGCTCCACCTCGGTGACAAATCGCTCTGTTCGGCCAAGGAGGAATGGCCTAGCAGCATCAGAGACCAATCTCCTGAACTCTTCCCTCCTCTTCTCTGGTGAAATCGTCCTTGACTTGTGCTCCATTTCAAGCCTCTTCATGAAGGATCCAATGACACCGTGAATGTGGTAGACTATGGCCTCAACGTTCTCATCCTGCAAAAACTACATTGCTATGCATCAGTCCGTCAGTGGCAATCAACATGGGAAAAAATCCTATATGCATCGCAATCAAGCAACACCATGGCTATTCACCTTTATTAAAAGAAGAAAAAAGGACACTATCCTCTATCACCATATAACAACTTCAACATTACATAATTATTGAAGAATACAACATGTATCATGCTCCACTACTTCTCTGCTGTGATTTTGGCAACAAAAGAAGAACTACCATCCGAGTGTCTCCTACTATCTCTTTTGACCATGATCCACGAGTCATTAACAGTGAAATAAAAGCCTAACTGCATGATATTTTTTAGGAGTCCAAATTGGTATCAAAATATGCAATTGTCAATCTGATACCACTTCACAACCTAGTATATACAAGGAATATTTAACAAGAGTAAAACAAGAGAAATCCAGATATCCTTGCATAAACACAGATCCCAATGGATGCTTATAAACTATATATATCCTTACAAAAAGCTAGGTCGCCTACCCCAGTAGCTAAAAGCGCTCAGGATTCTTGTAACCTATGGAATAGCTGTATTGCTAATAGGAAACAACAGCTTACCCGAGTAAGGGCCTGAATTTCCCGTCTTAGCCACGTTTCAAGCCAAATTTTCTTCCGGAGATATCTTTGTTGCTCCCAGTATTGCTGCACACCGGCAATGTTGCTTGTGCTCTCTGCTTAATTCAGCAAGCATAAGTCTTAACAAGTGAGGCACATAAAATTCTGATGTAGAATACCAAAGCGTTGAACCTAACTTTGTTGCTCCCAGCTATTCACGTGCCTCAACCTTGATTGCTTCTGCTGGGTTTGCTCCCAGCTATTCACGTGCCTCAACCTTGATTGCTTCTGCTGGGTTTCAACTTTAGCCTACCCCAACTTGTTTGGGACTTAAAGACTTTGTTGTTGTTGTTGTTGTATTGTTTGAGGAACAATATTATTATCTACACTAGTATTCAAACATAGCCTATGAGGCTATGTGGAAGCCTACATGGAGAGAGTTGACATGCAAAATCATCATGCAGTCGATAAGACTTAACATAAGGGCCTGACTAGACCTTCCTGGATACTTTGAGCCTTTGAGTGCTCAATTCTAAATAATAAAAAAAGGAAACAAGGATAGATTGAGCAAAACATACTAGTTCAAGAGCTTGAAATTTTGCGAAATAGGAATATAAGTTCACTTTACCTATCAAAATTGAAACTCACACAAGAAAACAAAACACAATATGACTGCCCTTGATGCTGAATTGAACACGAACATTTCTATCCTTTGGATTTGCTGACAAATCCAGATTTTCTTATGGCAAGGAAAACAAAGTAACGAAAGGAAAATAAATTGATTCAGTATTAGAGTGCTTAGTGCTTACTACCTGGAGCTTGGCATCTTCCTAAGTTAGCCCAACTCCTTTACCTAGAATTTGTCCGCAAACTTCTACCTGAGCATAAGATCTGTTCCCAACTGAACAATCTGGTGGAGACGGACGAGCTTGAAAAACTAAGTTATATCCCTCAACCATGCGCTGCAATGTGTTTTATTTGTGAAGGGGGCTCATCGTCCCAAATACAATTTTGTTTTATTTGTGATTTTTTGACAAACAATGTAACTAAAGTGTGAGAATTGTTTTGAAAAAATAAGAGAGTACCCGATGAAGACGATTGGAAGCATAGATTCTAAAAGCTAGGATTGGATCATTTTTTAAAGCAAAATGTTCAGAATACCCTCGCTCTTTAGCATGGGTAAATCTGAGGAATTAAAAGGTGAAGGGCATAATCGTCCTTTTAAAACTCATAACTGCCATGACGTCTGGAAAGGAACTGTTTGGCTTTGCCCTGATCTATGTGCTGCTAGTCCTCATACAGTCATACCCGAACAATTCCTACCTGAATGATTAATACTCTATCCGTCACAAGAGACTGTAAATATAAGATTCATACTCCTCGAATCCATGTCCCTCCTCCTAAAAAACAAGTCAAATTAGCTTACCCAACTAGTTGTACTATAAATATATAATTATTACGTAATTAAATGACACTTATTTTGTATCATAAACGTCCGGAGTTTTTTATATAACTTTGAACAAATCTCAAATTGTTTGACTCCCGGACGGATGGATTATATACATATATGCAGGCAAGGTCAATTTACACTGTTTCTTCTATTTTTTTTAAAAAAAAAAGAATGGCGACTTCTTAGGCTGAGGCATGGCTGGACCACATGCATATGTTTCAACTGTATGGCCAAGTATTCGGCTTACTGAAATTAACAAGTTGAGGTCAAGCTTTGTTGAGCTTATTTGTCGGGGACCAATACTAGGGTACCCGAAGAGGAGGAGCTATTGGCCATCAACATTGATTCATCCGAGCAGTCAAGAGCGCGACTACGGCTCTAACCGACCCCCAGGCGCGCAAGCTCCGTCTCGCCCGACACCAAGGCCGCGGGCTCCGCCTCGCCCGACCTCTGAGGCTGGCTCCGCCTCGCCCGACCCCAAGGCCGCGGGTTCCGCCTCGCCCGACACCGTGGCCGCGGGCTCCGCCTCGCCCGACCCCAAGGCCGTGGGCTCCGCCTCGCCCGACCTCTGAGGGGCTCCGCCCTTGGGTTTGTGCTCCGCCTCGCCCGGCCTCTGGCTGCGAGTTCCGCCTCGACCTGACCACAGGTCACGGGCTCCGCCGCCTGACCCAGGCCATGGGACTCACGCCTCGCCTGGCCTTGGGTTTGCGCTCTCCGCCTCGCCTTGACCACGAGGCCAGCGGGCTCACGCCTCGCGCCCGACCCCGACGTCGCGGACTCCACCTCGCCCGACCTCCAAGGTCGCGGACTCCATCTCGCCCGACGGAGACCCATGCCGCCGCCAACCACTCCAGGTCCAAGTGTATGGGCCTGGGTCAAAGCTCTGACAACAGGGAAGAGACCGGCACGCCCCGATGTAACCCGCGGCCACGACGGGCCATACCCGAGGGTTCACATCAGGAACAGCGTCGGGCGTACTGGAGCTGTTCTGCTTAACCTCGTCTTTAACACCGACAGAGCGCTCGGTTCACCACGACGTCCGCCAGGACGGAGTGGAGCACCATGACCGGCAAACGACGCCTGTGCATGGCGCCAAGGATTTTACGGGTACGCGACGTGGAGCCGCCCTCGTTGACATCTCCACAGGTCGGGCCACACCGTATGAAGGATAAGGACTCGGAGATCCTAAAGGACATTCTCTCTCTCTCTCGCTCTCCTCCTTTCCTCCGCTGTAACCCGTGCTTTCCCTTGGCTTATAAAAGGGAAAGCAGGACACCCCATGAGGGGCATCTGACCATCGAACAATCGATCGATAGAGGCGAGACCTGATCGAACTGCCACGAACCCATCGAACCTGGAGCCGACCATAACACAACACAAGCACACGGCTGAGCAGCAACCGAGCTCTCGACACCTGTTCATTCCTTCCATTAGAGACTTGGGACATGTCCCTCTCTCGTCCGTTTGTAACCCCTACTGCAAACTTTCAGTGCCAGTAACACGAGCAGTAGCGACGAACTGGACGTAGGGACATTCTGCCCGAACCAGTATAAACCTCGTGTCCTCTAAGCACACCATCCGAGCCAGACACGCAATATTAGAAATTTACTTGTTGGTGGTGACTCGAAACACCGACATTATTATTAGTAAAATGAACACTCCTTGTGCAAAATAAAATAAGTAAGACTCTAAGTATTGTCTAATTATATTAATAAAAAATGTACCTATTACTTTTCAAAAAGTCTTAATGGACAATCAACAGTAATTAAGATCACAATCACTCAACCAGCTGGTGGTGGTGGATCGATGTATCACCGGTCAGATTTTTATAATCCAGCTTTTCCAAGCTAGCTTCCACAATTTGGAAGACTTTCCAAACAAGGAGTAGAGGTTGCCGAACCTTCCTAAACCAAACCCAAACCCTAGCATGCCGAATCCGCCAGTCGCCATGGCGCCGAAAAGGCGCTGGGCTGATCTGCCGCCAGATCTCCTCTGCCGCATCGGAGACCGGCTCAACCTCAAGTGGTATGCCCGCTCGGGGCGCCTACACGCCGTGGCGCTGCGCACTCATGCCACCATCGCCCGCGCTCCTCGTGGTCGCCGATGGTGATCGCTGGCGCCCCTACGCCGCCTCCCTCCCCACGCGGAGGTCCTTCGAGCTCACCACCATCGTGTCGGGAAGCCGCTGCGTCGGATCGAGCAACGGCTGGCTCGCGCTCTCCGTCGTCGGCTCCATCGACGAGACCGTGTTCGTGCTCCTCAACCCCATCGCCGCCATGGAGATCATCCTCCCACCACTGATCTACGAGCACGAGGATGAGAGCCGCCGCGACTGGGTTTCCAAGTTAGTCTTCACCCTATGCCCCGCCAAGGACGACTTCGCCGCAGCCGCGATCTGCGACATCGACATGATTGCGTACGTCACCGCCGATGCCAAGAGGTGGGCCGTCATGGACCCCGTCCGCCTCACCAGCGAGGTCGGGGACCAGCTCACCGACGTCGTCTACACTGACAAAGGTAAGGTCTATTGCCTCTCCAAGTCCGAGGACGTGCATGTCCTCCGTCTCCCTAAGTGCTGGCGCCGTAAGCCTGCCAACGCCGATGAGGCAGGGCCCTCAGAGCCAGAGTTCTCTGTTCTCCAGTCGCCACCTCCTCCGCCGCCGCCTACTGAACACACAATTATTGTCCCCCACCGTTTTGGCAATATCAGGAGCCATTGGGGATAATGCCACTCCCCCCATATGAATATGAGGAAGTTCCACCTAAATCGCAAGGACCACACCTGAATGCGCCAGCCATTGTTGAGCCCCTGTTGCCACTGTTCAACCCTGCCACTGTCTTTGCTCCACCTTATTACACCGTGTCGGCGTTCACCAGCGCCAAGAACTTGGTGTTCTGCAAGGGCAATCTGTACCAAGTTTGGAGGAACACAAGTTGCACCGTGACTCTGCAGCTGCCTGCAGGGGGTCAGCGCCGTGTCGCGGAAAATGAGATACTGGTGCTGAGGTACTATCCTCGACGGCGACGCCGGCCTTGCTGGGATGCGGTGAAGGACCTAGGAGGTTACTCACTCTTTGTGGGAAGGAACAATGCAGTGTCGATGTATGCAGAGGGTGTGCCGGGACTGAGGGGCAACTGTGTATACTGGATTGGCGGCCGTGGTAGGGATCAGGGCATGGTCTTTGACATGGAATCTGGGAGGTCCATGCCGTGCGGGGCTCCTCAGGCTGGCTTTTTACCTAGTGGTCATCCGTATAGCACAATCTACTGGCACTTCATGAACGATGTAATGAGCAGCAGCAACAGTGGATGAAGAAAAGTTTATCAGACCTGAGCAAGCAGATCTTGCACAAGATGTGGAAGAATGATCGCATGGCCGAACTTCTAGGTGGCATATTGAGGACCAACAAGCACCTTGGTGTAAATTGAGTTTATCGTTTGTGGTCTTGAGAGTCAGAGCTTGATCTCAAGGCGAAGCAAAATCTTGCAGAGAAGGCTGAGGAACTGCCTCATGTGTAGCCTGTCTCCTAAATAATGCTCAGTTTGTTTACTTGCCTGGAGCCTCTATAATATTTGTATGTTTTGTCAATGTAACCGGATAATTGTTGTCTTTCTATACTTAATTTTCATGTTGTTGTGTTGAAATAATTCAATGGATTATGTATTGTGTTGAAACAATTCAGTGGATTATGTAATATTTTGGGTGCTGGTAATGTTCTGAATTTTACTACCAAAAAAATATTATAAACTAGTAATGTGAACACGCGCTGGACGCACACGTGGGCATGCATACGGGAGGAATTAGAAAATGATTTGAGAGAGGCCTTCATCAGTTGCCTATAAATAGGGCCAAAGCCCAAAGCGGAGCCCAGAACTGAACAAGAGAGAAGTTTATTGTACTCTGCACTCCCCATGTACACCATACAAGAGAAAGAAATAAGAAGCTCCACATTCCTCTCTATTTCTCTGCTATGAGTGTACATACGCTTTGCGCCATTATCCTTGCATCATTGGAAGCTTGAGCTCTCCAATGATAGATGATGTGAGGGGAATACATTCAGAAGGGTTAAAAGAATTGCCGTAGTAAATTCCCAACATTTTCAGACAACAGGGACCATATATATGTATACTCCATCCGTAAAAGAAAAACAATAACACTTTACCAAGTTAAAGTATCTTAAGTTTGATTAACTATGAATAAAAAAATATCAATATTTATTATATGAAATAAGGATTATTAGATTAATCATGAGAAACATTTTTATAGTATATATATTGGTGGCATGTCAAAGGGCGCCTGGCTCAATCGGTTAGGTGACCTAGCGGCACTCCACAGGTCCTGGGTTCGACTCCCCGTGGGAGCGGATTTCAGGCTGAGGTTAAAAAAATCCCCTCGCCCGTCCCCATGTGCCAAAGCGCAGTGGAAGGCTCCGGCCCGGTTCTCACAGGGTTACGGCACCTCCTGCGTCAGGATGGGGGCGGGGGTTCGGGGGTTTTCTCGATCTGTGTGAGAAGATCTTCTTCTTAACGGAAAACCCGGGGGCCGTCATAACCCCCGCAGGTCGAGTTTTTTTTATATATATTGGTGGCATAAACGTTAATATGTTTAAATGTATATTTGATCAAACTTTAGATACTTTAAGAAAGAATGCACCTAGCATTGTATGGTATATTACAATTACAAAGATGACTACAACATACACATGAATGTTGCCAACTACTGGATTCGTGCAACCACTACGCAGATTGGCTGCCTAGGCTACAGCTACAAAGATGACTACATCAACATAGTTATATGGAAATCAAATCCAATTGGTTCCAACAATGTATAGTGTTATACTATAAGGTTAAGTAGCACAAACTTACAGGCCAAGTTTCTTAAAGACATCTTTGCAGCTTGGCACTGTGCTTTTCTCCTTGTCCTACCAATTCCTTCACCGACCTTTTCCCCAACAATCCAAACCTGAACAAGATGCAATTAAAAAAACAAGGAGAAATATCATAAGCACAATAACATTATTACAAGTCCAACTGAAAATCAGATACCAATGCAGATTTTGGCTATTGTCAGATTTGTAATTTCCTATGAGAATTATGTTGAGATATATTATCAGAATAGGACACTTATCGACAATAGCTATTCATTCTGGACTTCCTTGTTTGATCATATTGCTAATATAAAGAAATTAGTCTACCTAGATAGAGAATTGTGGTTCTGCAGTATCACATAAAGTTGACCTGTACTCCACCTAAACACGAAAGGAAATGTCATTGATTACAAGAACAAGTCTTCTAGTCCATTAGTGTTGAATACTACTGAAGAGGCTAGGGCTGCAGGCTCATAGATTCTGTGAAAATAAACGCCATGTGTTCTGTTATGGTCGGTAAGACCTATCATCGTAGGCAGCAGCGTGGCTAACCTAGCACGCGGTCAGGTTTGTGTCTACAGAGTCGGTTTGGAGGAAGAGTTAGAGTCTAAGTTAAGTTAGATGGATTGGTTAAGAGTTGTTTTAGGAGTCCAGGAATTGTGGAGTCAGTTAGCTATGTTTGTGGCAGATCTTGTAACGCCTATAAAGGCTAACCATATGGAATAATAGATTCAACCTGGGATTGAGACTTACCGTCTCCCTTGGGTGCCCAGCCACGTTACTGTTCATCGTCTCCTCTTGCCGCAGCCACCACGGCTCCTGCCCGCCAAGCCCTAGCTCGCTCTCGCGTTCCTCGATCTCCTCCATACTTCCTTCGAAGCAAAGCCCGCCGCTGTAACAATCTGGTATCAGAGATCATGTCGACGTCTGGGACCGTTCCACCGCCAATCCCACCCACCTCGAGCCCCCCCACGTCTGGGGTTCCAGCCACATCAGGTGCCCTTGTCCCTGCTACATCGGGGGCCCTGATTTTCCCCACCTCGCAGCCTTCACCGCCGCCGCAGATGTACACGATCCCGGCGGCATCTCTGACGGAATTCACCAATGCCATCCAAGGAATTCAGAACCAGATGGCCCTGCTCAACTTTCAGATGACCAACATGGCACAGCGCCTGACGGCCATTGATGGGCGGGACCTGCCCACTGCAGGGCACCTACCACAGTTGCCGCAGCCCGGCTTCGCTGCGCTGCCGGCCTCATCTGCGCCCGTCCTTCCGGATGCAACCTCTGCGTACACTGCAGCGCCATCTGCTCCAATGGCGACCACCGCTGCACCAAGGGCTCCACCGACGTTGGCCGGCCAGTTCGGCGTGCCGATCACGCAGATTTGCTTCCCCCCGTCACCCTCGCCGCTCCCCTCCTTTGAGTCCGTCATGGGGGACATGCCAATGGCGTCGGCTCCGGCGGTATCAGCACCTGCGCGGATGTCGGTGCCTCTGCCGATGGAAGGGGCACAGGACGGTCACGTGGTTCCCAAGTACCATAAGCTCATGTTCCCGACATACGACGGCAAAGAGGATCCACTCGGCTGGCTGAACAAATGCGAGCAGTTCTTCAATGGCCATCAGACACGCCATCAAGATCGGGTCTGGCTCGCGTCGTACCACCTCACCGGCGTCGCCCAGCAATGGTACCTGGTGCTCGAGTCTGATGCTGGGCGCCCAATCTGGGATGACTTCCGCACACTCTGTCAACAGCGGTTCGGTCCGCCCCTCAGCACCAATCATCTCTCCGACCTGGCGCGCCTTCCCTTCACCTCCACAGTTGATGCGTATATGGAGGCGTTCCAGGCACGGGCTGCGCATGCAGGCAGGCTGTCGCCGGGCCAAAAGGCCAAACTGTTCACCGGAGGGCTGCCCGAGCACATCCGCGTCGATGTGGAACTCCACGATCCGCAGGACCTCCAGCGGGCGATGCACCTGGCCCGTGCGTATGAGCGCCGGAACGCGCCGATACAGCTCGCGCTGCCACCGCCGCCACGCCGCCGCACCACTGGAGTGGCCCCTACAACTCCTGCAGCGACAGGGACGATCTCTGCAGCCTCGTCCTCTTCATCGGCAACGTCGCAGCGCCCCTTCAAGAGGCTCACGCCGGAGGAGATGGCGGAACGTCGCAGGCAAGGGCTCTGCTACAATTGCGACGAGCCTTATGTGCGGGGCCACAAGTGCGCTCGGCTTTTCTACCTCGAGGTCGCCGATTACATCGTGGAGGAGCCGGACGACGACGCTGAGGACAACAAGGCAGCGCCACCTGCTGCTGCTGCAGATCCGCCCCCTTTTGACCCTGATGCCCCTATGATTTCCCTGTCTGCCATCACAGGTATCCGTGACTCGGGCACCATGCAGCTGCGCGTCCGGATCGGTGCGCATGAGTTCACGGCGTTGTTGGACTCCGGGTCTACGCACAATTTCATCAGGGCGAGTGCGGCGCATCGGGCGGGCCTACGCCTCTTCGACAGCCGGGGCGCTCACGTCGTAGTGGCCAACGGCGAACGCATGGCGTGCCAAGGCCTGGCCCGCAACGTCCTTCTTCAGATCGGCAGGGAATCTTTCTGCCTCGACATGTTCTCCATCCCCGTGCAGGGCTGTGACGTCGTCCTGGGGATCGCTTGGCTGCGTACCCTGGGACCCATCGTGTGCGACTTCGCGACGCGTACCATGGCCTTCAACCTCCGTGGCCGTCGCGTTGTCTGGGAGGGAGTGGAGGCGTCGGGCTCGCTGCCAGCACCAAAAGCCGACCCTCTGCTGTCCAGCACCCTCTTCACCGACACAGGATCTGAGCAGGACCTCGTGGAGCGCCTCCTGGACACATACAGCGACATTTTTGCCGCTCCAGCAGGTCTGCCCCCGGCTCGTGACTGCGATCACCGCATTCATCTCAAGCCAGCAGCCGAGCCGGTGGCTGTTCGTCCCTACAGATACCCTCAAATTCAAAAGGACGAGCTGGAGGCGCAGTGTGAGGACATGCTACAAGCATACTCGATCCAAATTTCAAAGACATCTCCGTTCTCGGACTGCTTTTTGCTTGGTCAAGAAACAGGACAACACCGGAGGTTTTAAGGTCGACTACATCGGGCACTCAATGCCGCCACCGTCAAGGACAAGTTCCCTATACCGGGTGGTCGAGGAGTCGCTGACGAGCTCCATGGTGCCCGCTATTTCACAAAGCTGGACCTTCGCTCCGGATATCACCAAGTGCGTGTCCACCCCGATGATGTGCACAAGACGGCGTTCCGAACACACCATGGCCACTTTGAGTTTTTGGTCATGCCTTTTGGCTTGTCCAATGCTCCTTCTACGTTCTAGGCACTCATGAACTCCGTCCTCAAGTCCTTCCTCGCAGCCATTGCCCTTGTCTTCTTCTTCTTCGACGACATATTGATCTCTGATGGCTCTTGGACAAAGACATATGCAAAGACCTCCGCGCCGTCCTCGACGTTTTGCGCGCGCATCACCTACATCTCAAGCGCTTGAAGTCGCGTTGTCACGCAAGGGCGGTCCACTACCTAGGACATGTGATTTCGTGGCGTCTCCATGGATGTCTCCAAGGTGGAAGCTGCGGTCTTGGCCTCACCGCTGTTCCGCCATGCTTTGCGTGGCTTTCCTGGTTTGGCTGGCTATTATCGCCGCTTTATCCAGACTTTGGCGCCATCGCAGCTCCCCTCACGCAGCTCTCAAGGGAAGAATGCGCTCCAAGGGCGAGGAGGCGGCAAGAATGCGCGTTCGACGCCCTCAAGGGGGCCTGTCCGGTCGCGCTGTTCTTCATCTACCGATTTCAAAGAAGGAGTTCGTGGTCGATCGTGACGCGTCCGGGCTCCGGCTTTGGCGCGGTGTTACATCAAGGAGCAGTCCGGCGGCATTCTACATACCGCCGTTCGCGGCCTAAGATCTCAAAGTGGCGGCGTCTGACGCGAAAGCTAATTGGACTCGTCCACGCCAGGCGTCATTGGCGCCCCTACCTCTGGGGTCGTGCTTTTCTCGTGCGCACGGATCACTACGCGTTGAAATACATGCTGGATCAGCGCCTATCGACAATTCCACAAACTCAGTGGGTCTCCAAGCTTCTTGGCTTTGATTTCAGGGTGGAGTTTCAGCCAGCCGCCGCCAACACGACAGCAGAGACGCCTCTCACGCAGCGTGATGGCGATGTTCCCCTCGCTGAAGCCTTGACCAAAAGCGTTGATGCATCGCCGGGCCGCATTGTCTGTGCTGCGCGCTTGACTTCTACAACGAGCTGCGCCATGAGTTCGACAACAACGCGGATCAGCGCGCCTTCCGCGATGCTGTCACCAAGGGCGACCACGGTGCAGCGTGGACGGTGCGCGAGGGGCTGATCCTCCGGGATGGCCGGGTGTACGTGCCCGAGTCGTCCGCGGTGCTTCCTGATATACTGCAGTTGGCCCACACGGTTGGCCATGAGGGCATCCAGAAGACCCTCTACGCCTCAAGACGGATTTCGCCGTGGAACATGACCGGCGTGTTGTGCGGGATTACATCCGGACATGTGCTACGTGCGGCAAGACAAAGATCGAAGCTCGCACCCCACCGGTCTACTTCACCGCCCGCCGTGCCATCGCGGGTGTGGGCCGATATTTCACCGACTTCATTGAGGCGCCGCCAAGGTTCATGGTAAGAGCGCGTCTTGCTTACGGTGGTTGACAGTTCTCCAAGTATGCCCACTTCATTCCACTGGGCATCTCTTACACGCCGCCTCCGTCGCCTGTGCATTTTTCACCGACATCGTCCGCTTGCACGGCTTTCGAGTCGATCGTGGAGCGATCGAGACCCTGCTTTTCAGAGCCACTTTTGGCGTGACTGTTCTTCCGGCCGGCTGGGGTCAAGTTGCGCATGAGTTCCGCCTTTCATCCCCAAACCGATGGCTACCGGAGGCGGTCAACAAGGTCATCACCATGTACCTTCGCCTGTACCACCGGCGATCGTCCTCGCGATCGGTGGACTGGTTGCCATGGGCGGAGTTCTCGCTACAATTCCTCGCTCCACTCCGCCCTCCGCACGACGCCGCTTCTGTGGTGTATGGCGGCCACCCCGCCCTTGCCGCCATACGACCGGGGACAACCATTCATCAAGATCTTGATGCTATCTTTGCCCGCCGTGATGAATACCTCTCACCGAGGTCCGGACAAAGCTACTCCAAGCGCAACAATGACGCTTCGCAAGCATTATGATGCCCATCACCGCTTCCTGGAGTTTGCGAGTAGAGGCGGGTTCTCTTGCGCTTGCTCCACCGCTCTGCATCGTTGGAGCCGGGCCGCTGAAGGAAGCTTGGGCCCAAGTATGCTGGTCCTTTTCGGTGGTGGAGCGCATTGGTCGTGGCGACGCTCGCAGCCGCTGACAATGCTCGCATCCATGATGTGTTCCACGTCGGCGTCCTCAAGCCCTTCATCGGCACACCTCCACTTCAACGCCGCCCTTGCCTCCGCTTGAAATGGGCGTCCCCTCCTTCGCCTCGAACGCTGCTTCAAGCTCCCCGGCCGCAGCCAGTTCTCAGCACATCTTGGTGCAAGGCTGGTCTGCCACCGTCTCGAAGCAACTCAGGAGTCGATGGACGCTTCCGTATGGCTCACCCTTCGTTCCAGCTCGAGGACGAGCTGTTTCCAGAGGAAGGGAGTGATGTTATGGTCGGTAAGACCTATCATCGTAGGCAGCAGCGTGGCTAACCTAGCACGCGGTCAGGTTTGTGTCTACAGAGTCGGTTTGGAGGAAGAGTTAGAGTCTAAGTTAAGTTAGATGGATTGGTTAAGAGTTGTTTTAGGAGTCCAGGAATTGTGGAGTCGGTTAGCTATGTTTGTGGCAGATCTTGTAACGCCTATAAAGGCTAACCATATGGAATAATAGATTCAACCTGGGATTGAGACTTACCGTCTCCCTTGGGTGCCCAGCCACGTTACTGTTCATCGTCTCCTCTTGCCGCAGCCACCACGGCTCCTGCCCGCCAAGCCCTAGCTCGCTCTCGCGTTCCTCGATCTCCTCCATACTTCCTTCGAAGCAAAGCCCGCCGCTGTAACATGTTCCTTCTTTGTATAGATTCTCTTGTCTAGTTCTGCTGCTCCTCTCGGGCTTGCAACTGCTATTGTTTTGTTTTTGGCTTTAGCTAATCCCTTTCTGTACAGTCTTCTCAATCCTTTTTTCCTTAATAAAATCCTACTGTGGGGGTCTCCCCTGCTGTATCTTACGTTAAAAAAAAAGTATTGAATACTACAAGTACCTTAGATCCACACTTCAGCGCAATCCCCTCTAATATGCCAGCAGAGGTCCCTGCATATTGTGGCAAGTGTCTTAATGATTCCATATGGTTGTTTCTCTGGCTTGAGGGAACAAGCCGAGCTGCTAGCTCCTCACCTTCATGGCATAAACACAGTTAAGCATAATCCGTCCTATAAACATCATATGTATACCAAGCTGCACTTAGTGAAAGCGAAATCTTGGTCTATCAAATTGCAAGCTTTCATAATCGTGCCACCTTTAGTGAAAGCACATGTGAAATAATTATTAGTTATTCACCATCAATGCATTAACTCATAACAAACTCATGTGCATACAACTGCAGGATCATTAAAACAATTGGTAAAAATAAGCGCCTCAAGCTACAAATAACAGAGTGAGGACCTTGTTTACAAATGTGAACAGAGACCCTCAATGTGAAAAGGACAAGGGGAGGGGGTCTTTTCTGTTTTAGTTCTCATATGAACATATGAATTGCATGTTGCATTGTCACAGTTAATGGTAGACAGATAGATAGGCCCAAAGATTCATCTAATCAAACTAACTAAAAAGCAACTACTACTGAGCAACTTATACCTAACTTCTCTTCATCTAACTTGGAATAAAGCAAAGCATATTTGGCTTATCATTAAGAATAGCCAGAGCACCTGTGGTGGGGCTGCAACTGCATGTGTGGCAACACATGACAAGGGAGTGCATGGAAAATGGCCCCAAAGATGAACATTAAAACTCAAAAGGGGGGAATAAATTGTTCAGGCATACCAGAAAAGGATCTGTATTTTGGAGTTGCATGGTTCTAAAGCATGTGGTGAGCCTCGGTATGTGGTACCTGAACCAACCATATGCTTGTCACCAAGTGTTCAGATGGTCACTTAGCAACTGAAATACAATTAAAAATTTATTAAAACCACGTACCAGAGAGGGAAACCTCTGGTTCTGATAGCTAAATTTATCTGAGGACATAGGATTATCCCCACCATGAAAGAATGAAGGATGAGGTGGTTGCTTTTTCTCATAAAGCATAGAATCAGATTCTACAGTGAAACCTGCTGAACCTCTATTCAGATTACTTGGGTTCATCCCATCCTCTGCTGGAAACCAATTCCCATGAGGTTGCACTGGAGGAGCTGGAACTTGCACTGGCGGTATTGCTGGGAGTGGAGGTGTAGGATCTCTTGTTTCTTGACCATGCTGTAATATGAGAAGCCTTCGCCTTGTGTCAGGAACTCAGGATCCAACTCAGACTCAGGAACTCCACCTTCTTCTCTAGCTGGAGAACCTTGCAGCGGATCTGAAAAAACGGGTTGAACAACTGGCTGGCTTAATGGAGGCGACATCGTGCCAAGGGGTGGGGCTAATGGTGCAACTGAAGATGAAAAAAAATTCTGAGCAGTAAACTTTTCTGGTGTTTCAAAAAGCCAAACGTCTTATAATTTGAAATGGAGGGAATAGTAAACTTTTGTAAATGGCGTGAAACCCATCATATGAGCTGCTAAACCTTATAAATAGTACTATGCGTGCTACTATCATGCAAAGGCATAAAAGTAGAAACATTTCGTGAGAAACTCCTACTTAAAATCACAAAACTAAGCAAAATGGTAATAAACAAGTTTGAGACTTGGATTTAAGAACTGCCTATATTTGATAGGCTTACTTCCAGAAGAGGCACGTTCTCTATATATCACAGGCAGCCAAAAGGGCTATATTACTACTCTCGCATATGCTGTCTCCCATAGAACTTGCAATTTATTTTCAGGTTTTAGTATCTTGTTCCGGTACAAATACACTACAGCAAAGACTTATCCACATAAGAAAACCAAGTTAAGGATAATCTTCAGCCATATTCTAGGCAGAAGATGAAACCAACAAAATGTGCATTAAGTATCCAGAATAAGCCAAACACAGCTTCCTCCCTAATAGTCGTAACTTAACCTTGGACTATGACCAATCAGTGATCACTAGTGGTTATATTGCAGAAATCAGAATTGAGAAAACCTGCACAGTGGATAGCCGCTAATGAGCATAAGTTGCAGTTCCAGCATCCACCTAAACCACAGAATGAGATGTTTAAATTACACTCTAGAGGGCACAGTACTAGCTCTAGCTGCAGCATAGGCGTCTGCAAGGCCAGGAGCAGAGTCCTTGTGGCAGTCGATGAACTTTGATTCGAAAGCCTCCTCTCTATAATGAACTAACTGGAAAAGGTTCATATTGCTATTCAGCAATCCCTTTTCCTGCAGCACTTTCATGACATGATGCCGAGGCACTAGCCGCTTCTCCAAGCTGAATGCGAGCAGGATAGGCCTTTGCACTCCATCGCAGCCTCATTCATCAGGAACTCAATCTTGCGAAGAAGAGTCGCATCAGATAATCCTAGTATTTGTGGCATCTTGGAGACTGCAATGGAAACCTCAGACTCAGAACAACCAAGAGTCATCTTGAAGAACTCAAGCTTGGCAGCAACCTTCTCTTTGGAATTAGAGGCAACGGCGGACACTGCTTGCCTGAACAACGGCGACGCGGCAGGCACCCCAAGTTCTTCTGCCCACAGCAAAAATTCCTTCACGCGTTCCGGGTTGAAGGTAAGCACCCATGGGTTGTGTAAACACACTTTAGCAACATCTGGAACACCGCGCTGACGAAACAGAGCTATGTTGGGCTTGATTATCTTCTCGAGGCTCAACGGAAGAGGCTGCAGTTCCTCTTTGCGACCACCAGGACCCAATCAAACGAGCCGAAGAAGGGGATGAAGAACTCGAGCCTGGGAATGACGTCGCAGTCGCGGAGAGCGCGTGAGCTGACCACGAGGAAGCGAGCGATCTGGGGAGTAGACAGACCGACCCGGTCGCGGAGAGCAACGAGGCGGGGGGCGATGTTCTTCACGGAAGCGCGGAGGAGCAGCGGGTCTGCGGAGACGACGGCGGCAATGTCGGCGCGGCAGAGGCCGGCGCCGGAGAGCAGGGCGAGGATAGCATCGGGGTTGGAGGCGGAGTTGAGGCGACAGTAGGAGAGCTCCCCCAATGGTCTCCTGGATCCAACGGATAATAACTCGCCGGACGCCTTCTTGAACACCTCGCGGGCTTGGGCTGGGGCGAGGCCGCAGGAAGCGACGAGGTAGTCCTCGAGGGAGAAGGGCGCGGGTAAGGCGGTGGAGGTGGAGGTGGAGAGGAGGAGGTGTACACGCGGGGGTGAATCGAGGAGGGTAGAGAGGAGGTGGCGCGGAGCAGAGGGAGGAGGCGCAACATGGCGGCAGCTAAGAGGAGGGGAGGTGATTAGGCCGTCGGCCACGAAAGCAAGCAGGAGGGCTCGCCGCGTGAGGGGAAGGGGAATCAAAGATGGATGGATGGGTGTGGGAGAGGCTGCTGCCGCCTTGACCCCGTAGCTCGGGGCCCGGCGTGTATCGCCCGCACGGCCGCTGCCTCGCTCCCGCCTGCCCTGCGGCCGGCGTGGTTGCTGGTCGTCTGCGCCGCCGCTCCTTGATTCGTCGGCAATCGAGACGAGAGGTGCAGGGCGTCACACAGGAAGGAAGAGGGAGTGGCGGAGCCCTCTGGAGCTGGGCTCGAAGGCCGGTTTGGAATGCTGGGCTGCCAACGGGCACATGGCTTGGGCCGTTATGGACCGGGCCATCAAAATTTAAGCAGAGTTCTCCACGGTGCACGCGGCTTGTGATGCTAGCAAGCTGGCCAGCAGTCCCAAGCGGACTAAGCCTGCAATTTACAACGGCTTTTTTTTTGGCACAGAGCAAGGTTTCGAGACAGGCCCAAGAGAACACCACTATGCGCCTTCCTTTTGTTTGCCTTGTTCCTGTGAGTAGAATAGAAGTAACCACATTAGGGAAGAGATAACGTATGATTTCATAATTTGGTCTAGCATAGTCCATGTTTCGAACTTGCACCGAACCTCTAGTCAATTGCTAGGCCTCAGGCCGACCGATTCAGAGCTTGATCTCCCTCGTTGGCAAGGCAGCTTTGATGGTGTGACAAGTGACAAGTTCTTCAGGCCAAGTAAGAGATGTCCAGTCAGCATTTTTTTAAACGAAATCCAGTCAGCATTATGATTCGAGTTGTTACTTGTAACATGTCGCATCTACAAGGAGCTGTTTGCTTGCATCCTCCCAGGCAGACATCTGTGCTTAAAATCCAACGTCTGGGAGAGCTCTGACATGGTCATTCTCAGGCCCACGATCCAGCTCTTCTCGTTTCCTGGGGCTCATTAAAGAAGTCATTGTGAATTGTGGTGCTGGTAAAAGACCAGGTATACTAACAGAAATGCCAAACTCGCGCAGTGGAAGTGTTCATGGGTATTTGTGGAAGAAACAATGCCCTTCTTTCTAAATGGTTCAGAACCATCATGGGAATCTTCACTTTGCCGAAATAATACACAGCCTATTTCCAGCTAAACAAGCTCAGATTTGGCTGCTGGTGTACAAGCTCAGATCTGTGCTGGTGTTTCAGGATCCTGAAATATGGCAAGACATATGAACTAAGTAACTGAGATCAACTAGCCGAATAGAAGACGAAAATTGAGCAAGGATTCCTTTTCTTAATAACAGACAGAGAGTGACATGCACAGGAAAATAAACTACATAATAGCCGTTAAGATCCATCGATAGGGATGAGCTATTTTAACATGTAAAGTGGAATCTGAATTAGTTTACTTGATCTTCTTTGAATGAATCTCAAGAGCAGAAGTTGATTCATAGCAAGAAATAGAGAAACGGTTAATGCCAAAAGGAAGGGGCAACAAAGGCCGCTCTGCACCTCTTACTGGTAGGAGAAGGTTGCAGTAGCGAGCTTGGCAGGAATGGCCAGACAACAATGTACGGCACATCCTAATGTGTCCAATCATTCCATGTAATGATTCCCAGTAATCCCACAAGACTATTTGACACTAAAAGAAATAAGATAACCCATCCCTGAATTAAATCAATGTATGTTCATTCAGGAAGCAGGTACATGTTTCCCTGATTCAATTCAAATAATTTTCCATAGAAGAGCCCCTAGAGCAACGAGATCAAATGAGCAAAAAATACAGCTCGATGAGCAAAGATACTGATATTTCATATGTACTATGTTGCATATTAGCAAACAATGTCTCAGTATAAGCAAATATTTTGATATTCTCAAATGTCATAGGTCAGAATGTGGGCCCATGGTGCAAGTTCCATGTGAAAAAAAACTTCAAAACTTCTCAAACGATGGTTTTACTCTACAGAACCAGAGTCATCGTTGGCATATAACGGAGCTAACGTTTTAGGCAATAATTCTTCATCAGGATAGATACATGAGAACAACTGCAAGAACCATAAAGCGAATTTATCAGGACAGAAAAGAGCATATGTATTGCTTTCCGGCAGAGATATCAGTGCAAGGAGCAGATATATATGCCATAAACCTCCAAATGAAATTAGCTTGTGAGGTAAATTACCTGCCTACATTAGATATGGCATTTCTGAACATAGTGGTTCATGGGGATAGATGTTAATATCATAACAAGTAATGAGAAAACAACAATAGATGCATGATATGATGTGCAAATAACTTAAGCTTCAGTAAGGCATACTGCTAGATTGCTGCTTGACTGAAGAAGCTGAACAGCAGCAACCTGCTGCTCTTCTAGTGCTAAATCAAGTGTGTAAATTGGGCCAACAAAGAGAAACAGCATGCCAGCTCTAGGCACAAGCTAGCTGGACCTGTAACTCTATGCATATGCACAAGCTGCTAAAACTAATACAATATGACTTTGCTTCCTTTTTTAACACAAAACAGATTGGAAAGGTTTGATAATGGTGGCCATGTGCTTATACATAAAATAAAAGTGGATTATCATATAGAATATCACATAGTATATGATGGAAAAGAAGGCTCAGTATAGAGTTGCTCAAAACTTTCAACATTCAAACTTGGTAACACGCTACAACCATTTGGCTAAGTTGCAAAACAGAGCGAAATGAAAAATGTTTTCTTGTGCTTTCTTGTTCAAAAAATGGACCACAATGTAATAGTTTGAAATGACTGGGGATAACATCAAACCATTGCTTGAATAGCCGCTCTGTTGCACACATGGCAAAGCATTGAACAGCCTTCTGTACAAATAAGTAGCAGTAAGATTATGGCAATGGCAAAAACAATGAAGTAGTGTCAATGTGTCATCATGCCAAAAATGCCAAATTTTGGAGAAAGGGCACATGTGTGCGGAAGAATTTCCTTCATGGTCAATGTTTCAGGATTCCCTGTATGACTATATGCTAGATTAATTAGTTTGTCTATATGCTCCCTGCTTGCTAGTATATTAACTAGTTTAATTGGGAACTTTGACCTTTCATATAAAAAATCAAAATAGAAGGCAGCATATAAATAACTCAGATTTCAAAAACACAAACCATAGAAATGTTTCAGGATTCCCTGTTTGTCTATATGCTAGATTAATTAGTTTGTCTATATGCTCTCTGCTTGTGCTATATTAATTAGTTTAATTGAGAACTTTGACCTTCATATAAAAATTCCAAATAGAAGACAGCATTTAAATATAAGTATAGAAGAGCTCTTAAGGTACATTGTGGCAATATGACAGCATGTTGAAGGTCAGGAACTTTTCTTAAGGCATGTTGGTAGGCACAGATACACAACTGTAAGTACATCAAGCAGTTCCTTTTGCACAAGCAAATATGTCAAGGAACTAATAAAACTACTACAATATGATGCAATCTAAGATGCACTGTCATAAACAGACATGGTATTTAAGGTTGTTTGAAGAACACAGTTATATCCCCATTGTTTGCAAATAGAGTAACCTGTTAGAAACCAATTAATTAGGATTATTTTGGTGTTATGTTTCAAAGGGGGCATTTGAGCCACAAAATTGATATGCAACAATAAGAAACACCCATGAGAGGAGGGCAACGGAGTGTAGAGATGCTGACTTATCCGGAGTACTCTTCCAGTTCCAAATTATTTCACTTTATTTGGAACGGAGTGAGTACTTTTTGAAGTAAAAGTAGACTTTCTGGCACATGGACTGATTTTCCAATCAAAGAATGAATAGGCGTATCTTACATATAAGCATCCTCCACCAATGTCATCCGAAATTGGCTTTTAACATATCATCAGTCTGCATCATCCGTGTCAATTGGCTCTAAGAAGCTACGTATGGTTCGTACACCCGTACATGGATAAGAGTGATGAGGTGGCGGCCTATGTGTCTTTCTTTGACTTGGAAGGGGCTTGCTTCCATTCCCTGACGAGCTCCTTCCAGAGGTTCCAAATCCACAGGTTGCTGACCGCAATGGCGGTGCCGACAACGAGGATCCAGGAGATCCGCACCCACCACGGGATAACGTCGACGGCCTGGCCGGACAGGTAGAAGGCGGCCATCTTGAGGAGGAAGAGCGGGCCGGCGACGCCCCTGACGAGCGTGTAGAGCGCGTAGAAGGGCGGCGAGAGGGCGCCGTAGACGCACGCGGCGGCGGGGGACTGGTCCCGCCAGATCCCGGCGAGCGTCCAGACGTTCTGCATCAGGCTGGTGACCTCGGCGAGTACGAGGAGGACGAGGAGAGCGTAGGCGCCGTGGCGGACGAGGTAGCGGCAGGTGAGGAAGACGAAGAGCGTGGCGAGGTGGTGCGCGATGAAGAGGACGTCCCCGGGCAGGAAGGCGAGGTAGTGGAGCAGGTCCATGGTGAAGTAGGCGACGCTGTAGTCGAGGACGTGGTCCTGGAGGCGCGCGTTGGGCGCGGCGAAGGAGCGGGGCCCCGCGGGCAGCGCGAGGATGGCCCCCGCGGCGGCCAGCGCGGCGGGGGTGCCGTGGAAGAGCGAGATGAGGCAGCTGGCGCCGTCGAGCCGCTGCCGCGGCGCCCACCGCCGGAACACGACGAGCTGGCCCGCGCAGTAGATGGCGGCGTACATGGCGAGGAACGCCGGGAACAGCCACCGCTCCTCGGCGGCCAAGGACGCCAGCAAATCCATGGCCCGGCCGGGAACCCGCCGGATCAGCGCTGGGTCGATGAGAATCGGTCGCGCCGGGACGGAGGCTGGAGGGTAGGGTCTGGGGGCGGCGGCGGCGTGGAGACTGGAGAGAGATGGACGGCTCTGCGCTGCGGTTGCGGCTGGGTTTGGTCTGTTGCGGTTGGGAGGGGAGAAGGCGAGGCGACAGATATAAACAAGTGCCAAAGCCAAACCGAGATCGAAACGAGGAGGGTTTTTGTTTGGTTGTTTCGTGTGATTTTAGGCTGCTCCGTGTTTTGTTTGTTTGTTTGTTTCGTGTGATCTGAGGCTACTCCGTTTTTCTGATTGTGACTCGTTATTTAAGTGTTGCGTGTTTATTTCTTTTGGGTGAGCTGCTGCTGCTAGTACTTTGTGGAGTTGTGGTTCGAATTGGACACCCTCTAGAACCTCACCTAAAAAGATATTGCCTCTTGTCCGAAAAAGGTAAAATTCTAGTTCTATCTCTACTCATCAAACTATTTAAAGTTTAATCAAATTTATTTATATAAAAATATTACCACCAGTACATAAATGCTCGTGCATTGCATTGGGGCTTTGAAATTTTTTACTGAGCACAGTAATTGGATTTCTAGATTTATAAATAATGTGACGAGGCCACCGACCGTCTGCGGACTCTGTATGTAGGCGCACTCGCGCTAGCCATTTCATGTGCGGACTTCACACTTTTGTGCAGGAACGCCAACCGGATAGTATACGGATTTGGTATCACTAGGTAGATAATTATTTTAGAGTTTTTTTTAGGTGTAGAGATTTATAATACCAAATAGGTATACTACAAGAAAATATATTTCACAAAAAATCAATAATATTTATTTGGCATCACAAAATTTGATAGTTTTTTTATATTTGGACACCTTTGAGATGGTTTGATTGGATACTGTGAATCTATGGGATCCGAATCTATGATATATGGAGTTGTATTCCTTTTAGTACAAAGGGAATATATGCATTTTAGATTCTCTTCGGCTCTTCGTTGAAGTTTATAAAATTGAAAAAGACTGCTTTAAATTAGTACTCCTAGTATGATACCTTTTTTTCTTTCAAAAAAAAATCCACATCCACCTATTTTTCCCCCTCTACTATGCATCACCCATGTAGTGCTTACCATTATTCAGAAAACAGACCTGATATTGCAACGCTAGAGTCTGTTTTAGTGTGGTGTGCTTTGTATAGTGGTGTCGCTGTGTGAGTGTATGTATTCTCTTGAATTAGAACAAAATGTAGTACAATATATTTTTTACATCTACTTTTTAATGAGTCGGTAAATCTTTTGTCTAACAGCTCACGTTTCATGTTTAATAATCTTCTAATAATAAAGAAAAATGGTCATGCTACGTGTTGAATTGGACGTTGATACCGTAAAATCTTTTCTTTTGTCTGGTGGAGAGCGTTTGGTGGGCACGCTATGACCATGTCTGCCTAGCTTTGTGCTAACTTGCGAACTTGAAATACGCATCTCCAACAACTCTTTAAAACAACTTGCTATCCTTATAAATTTGGCAAAATCACAAAATTCCCTCTCCAACAACTCCTCAAAAGAACTTGCTATTTATCCCAAGTTGCTATCCAGCGTTGCCGCACGCGGATATATACGCGCGCGGTGTTGAGTTGCTATCGCGAAAATTCTCCGTCGCCGGCCCCCGTCCCGCGCGAGCTGGTCCTCTCCCGCGCGCGCGAAACTCTTCCCCCTCCTCTCCCGCGCGATAAAGACCGATCCACTTCCGTCCGCAACGTAGATCGGCGACCTCTCCTCTTCCCGTCGCTGCTCTGCTGAAGATAAAGACCGATCCCCTTCAACGTAGGCCGGCAAATCTTCAACGTGAAGCCGCCACGACGTGAAGCCGCCAGGCCGTCGTACCTGCAGGTACCTGTTCGTTCTCGCCGTCTGGTAGGGCTAGGGTAGGGCGCCGGTCTGTTGGTTTTGATGCCGAGCTTGGGTAGTTGCTAGGGTTTAGGGTTCAAGCTGTTCATGGATTGTTGTATACTGTTCTGGTAGTATGCTGTTCTCGATCTGATCTTGTTCATGGAAGTATACTACTCATGTTGAGGAAGTGCTTTGTTCACGGTATTCTGATAGTATCCTGTCCTGATCTGATTCTTGTCATTTATATTTTTCTGTAAATTATTTTGTAGACCGATTAGGATGGAAGGAGAAGATGGAGATTTCTTGTCGAACATTCTTCTCAATGGAGAAGGGGCTCACGTTGCTGGTTTGGACGAGATGACCATTCCAAACACTCAAGACAGTACTCGTGTTGAGGAAGTGCAGGGAAGCCGCAGTACCAAGGGAGGAAGGAGGTCCAAAAATTTTCATTGGCAGAAGGATGAAGTTGTTTGCTTGGGATGGTTGACTGTTAGCAAGGACCCCATCAACGGGGCCAATCAATCGCGTACCACATTTTGGGGAAGAGTTCATGCTTACTACGAGGAACACAATGAAACTGCAGTTCCTCGTACAGAGAGTTCCATTATGCATAGGTGGCTGACAATCCAGTTGCAAGTGAACAAGTTTTGTTCGTGCTATGAGGCCATTCTACATAGGAATCAAAGTGGCACAACTATTCAAGACAAGGTATGAAATATGTGTATACACATTTTACTTGAACATTTTTTTTAAATATATATACATTGACAATATCTCTGTACAATATCTCTGTACAATATCTCGGTAGAAGTGATGGCCGGCCGGAGTAGCTGAACGACGTCGAGGAGGAGATGATGGCCGGCCGGAGTAGCTGAACGATGTCGAGGAGGTCGCCGATGAGTAGCTGAACGACGTCGAGGATGGCCGGCCGGAGTAGCTGAACGGCGTCGGCGGCGGCCACGCACGCGAGAGTTACGTCTCGCAGGAAGGAGGAGCGTCGCGGCCTCGATCGATAGAAGTGAAAAGTCGCGTCGCGTCCAGGCCCAGTTCCGGTTTTGGAGAAAGGTAGGCCTACTTTTTCAATTTTACCAAGTGAGAATAGCAACTTGTTGGAGACACATCTTTTTCCCCTTGCCAAACAAATTAGCAACTTGCTATAACCCAAGAATTGGCAAGTGTGTTTTAAGGACTTGTTGGCGGGCGTGCTGGCCGTCGTCTCCAGATGGTCATTTTGCAAAATCCACCCCCGTTCGCTACAGTAATTGAGGAGAGAGAGCGAAGCCGTCGCGTCGCGAGACGACGGCGAGCGCTCGTGCTCCCAGGCGAACTCGACGGTTGAATTCACGTTGTACGAAGCCGTCGTCTTGAGCCGACATCGCGTGGATCCAGCTGCGCGCGCGCGAAGTGAAATATTCGCGCCAAAAATCCGCACATATATGCCTCAGCCGCGCCATTTTTCATCACCATTCTCGCCCAAATCAGTCTCAGATGCCTTTGCGCCTTCGCCGGATTTCGTCTCGCGATGTCTAGCCGGGATTTGAAGAGAAAGGCGACGTCAATTTCGAAGAACAAGGCGAAGGCAGCGGCAAGGGCGAGCAGACTTCCTCGCGGAAGCGGCTCATCCCCAGCACCCAACCTCGCTGGTTTCAACGGCGTGGCAGCGCCCTTCCTCGGTCACGGAAGCGGCTCGTCCCCAACACCCAACTCCTCTGCTGGTACGATTCATCCTCAATCCCTGACAGATGTCTTGGATTCTTCACCAATCCATGGCAGACGAGGCTACCCAGTCGGATTTGGCGCAGTTGCCTATTCACATGGCAGATGTGCCTCCACCAGTCCAAGTTCTCCTCCGTTCGGGCATCAATCAAATTGGGATCCAGCATGGTAATCCTTGATTTGCTTCAATTCTCGCGTTTAACTGTAGGCTATAGCCTTGATTTGATTGAATTCGTATTCTGCATTTCTGCTCATCTAGGGAAATCCATCCGGCTACGTTTTGCCATCATAGGAAAATCTATCATGCTACGTTCTGTGATTCTATTTTAGTTACCTGTATGCTATGTTGCCTTGGTGATTTTCTGGACAGCAGAGAAATAGTGGTAGTTCAGTTAGTTCTTTTTCAGTTAAACATGCCAATACATGGAACCTGCAATTCTAACTATTGAATGCTTTCAGTTACTGATAACTGAACAGTTATCTGATCATTGATTTTTTTTCTAGCTACTGGATGTTGTTAGTTCACTAGAATTGATCACTGTTTTCTTTTTTGTAGCTATTGAATGTTGCCAGTTCACTAGAATTGATCATTGATTTTTTTTCTAGCTACCGAATGTTGTCAACTCACTAGAATTGATAACTGAATGTTTTCTAGCTACAGAATTTTTTTGTGCTGTCCTTTACTCATTGTCAGATTAGGAGGATACATCATTTGCTTAAGTTATGGATTGCTAAATTCCTTATTGGCCCAATCATTTGGTTAAGCTATGGTCAGCTTACTGCCAGATCGAGATTGACTGAAAACATTTAGTTTTATCTGATGCCATGGATGGATACTTAATTGTTGCCTGATTAGTTTGATCCATTCGATCATATATTTTATCTGCTGCCATGGCTAGCTAACTTTCAGGTTCGCTAATGAGATGTAGCCTTCTCTGACTCCATGGATGCCATACTCTGACACACACTAATGTAGATATTTGGTGACAGATAGGGCAGTTTATTTGCTGTATCAGGTGTCACTACTCACTAGACAGTGACAAGCATGCCGGCACTATAGTAACCAGTTGTCAATCGCATCATGTGAACTCTTTGCTCAAAAGTCAAGTAGAGTCTCTTTGTTATAAAGCAGAATACTCCCATGTCATGGAGATCATGGCATAATCCAGTATACTACCTTTCAGTTTACCAGTATTGCAATATCCCCTTAAAGCACTTCTGCTAACCATGCAGATTAGAAAACTTAGTGCGACTGGTTTAGTTCCGTGTAAAGTAAATGCTAAGGATATGCATGCACTGTGCAGACTGCTAGCAGATGGAGCAGCTTGTTCTGAAGAAGTTCAGAAATCTGAGAAAAACGTTATGCATCAATTGGTTTTTT